TATAAGTAGGAAAATGAGAGTGCCCCTAAATATATATTTTTAATAGAAAAATAGCACTGGGTACATAAGAAAAAGACCTGCTAGTTTAGACTAAAACCCAGCATCTTATTTTCCACAGTGCCCAGCCAGATGCCTAGGCAAAGCCTGCAGAATAGCTCAGTCAGCAGAACATGAGACTCTCAAGGTTGTGGGTTCGAACCCCACGTCAGGCAAAAAGAACCCTGCATTGCAGGGGGTTGGACTAGATGTGGCCCCTTCCAACTGTACAATTCTATGGTTTTATTATTCTATGTAGGACATGAGCGCAATCAAATTCTCCTGCTTATGCAAAGCCATCATACTCTTCTTTATTAGCACAAGTATGTCACACCTTCCCTTCAAGGAGCTTGAGGTGGTGTACATGGCTCTCCCTCTCTCCATTTTTATCCTCACGACAAGCCTGTGAAGTAGGTTAGGCTGAGATCGACAGTGGCTGGCCCAAGTTCACCCCAGGAGCTTCATGGCTGAGAGGGCATTTGAATCCCGGTTTCCCAGATGCTACAGGGGTCAGCAAACTTTTTCAGCAGGGGGCTGGTCCACTGTCCCTCAGACTTTGTGGGGGGGCCAGATTATATTTTGGAAAAAATATACATAAACGAATTCCTATGCCCCACAAAAAACCCAGAGATGCATTTTTCGCCCTATAGGACGCACCGTCCCATAAGGCGCACCTAGTTTTTTTTGGGGGGGGAAATAAAGGGAAAAAAAATATTTTCCCCCCCCAGGCGCGGGGCTGGGGCGGGGGAGGCCCGAGCTTCCCCCGACCCCAGCCCCCAAACAGGCAGCTCTCTGCAAGCCGTGGGAGCCCAGCGCATGCCGGCAACTCTCCGCAAGCAGCGGGAGCGCTCCCGCTGCTTGCGGAGAGGTCCGCGAAGCCTGGACACGCTGATCTCAATGCTCGCAGGCTTCGGCATGCCGGCAACTCTCCCAAGCAGTGGGAGCGCTCCCGCTGCTTGCGGAGAGGTCCGCGAAGCCTGGACGCGCTGATCCCATCGCGCGCAGGCTTCGGCATGCCGGCAACTCTCCGCAAGCAGCGGGAGCGCTCCCGCTGCTTGCGGAGAGGTCCGCGAAGCCTGGACGCGCTGATCTCAGCGTGCGCAGGCTTCGGGATGCAGGCAACTCTCCACAAGCAGCGGGAGCGCTCCCGCTGCTTGCTGAGAGGTCCGCGAAGTCTTCAGCGAAAGCCTGCATTCGCCCCATAGGACGCACCCAGATTTCCCCTTCATTTTTGGAGGGGAAAAGGTGCGTCCTATAGGGCGAAAAATACGGTAAGTAAAAGCACACATTCTACTCATGTAAAAACACACTGTATGCGGGCTGTATCCGGCCCCCAGGCCTTAGTTTGCCCACTCATGTGCTAGTCCAACACACAGAACTAGTAGCCTTATTCTCCACAATTTTGTCTAATCCCATTTCCCCTCCCCATCATGATCAAAACCAGAATCACAATGCACAGTGTTTTCTTGCTTTAAACAGGTTACAGAAGTAACCATGTTTTTCTTGGTGCGCAGCTTTTGGAGCCATTGGGTTAATACTTCTAGTGCAGAGTACATAGCCCCGTGTGTACTGAATTATAGTAGGTGTGCTCATTGCAGCTGTCAGCTGATAGCATGAAACTGGGAAGATGCCAGTTCTCATGGTTTGCTTCTTCGCTTTTGCATAATGGGTGTGTTAATCAACATGGGGCGTGGGAATCCCCACTTGAGTCTCCCGAACTATAATATCCCTGGCCCAATTCAATTAAAATATGTGCATAAAAGTTATATGTAATGAGGGGACCCGCACACTGGTCTTCTCTTTCCTACATCTGGCGCATGGGTGTGCCACACAGACATTACATGCAAATTGTCTGCAAATGTTAAGCTTGAGTAGACCCAAGCCATTTGGTTGTTAACTCACATAGATCTGGGAAATTACCCAAACTCTTCAGGCCCTGGTAAGCTTTATTATTTTGGAAGCTACTGTGAAATCTTTCCCTTTCGGTTTTTTAAGGGTCTTGTTGTTGTTTAGTCGTTTAGTCATGTCCGACTCCTCTGTGACCCCATGGACCAGAGCACGCCAGACACTCCTGTCTTCCACTGCCTCCCACAGTTTGGTCAAACTCATGCTGGTAGCTTCGAGAACACTGTCCAACCATCTCACCCTCTGTCGTCCCCTTCTCCTTGTGCCCTCAATCTTTCCCAACATCAGGGTCTTTTCCAGGGAGTCTTCTCTTCTCATGAGGTGGCCAAAGTATTGGAGCCTCAGCTTCACGATCTGTCCTTCCACTCAGGGCTGATTTCCTTAAGAATGGATAGGTTTGATCTTCTTGCAGTCCATGGGACTCTCAAGAGTCTCCTCCAGCACCATAATTCAAAAGCATCAATTCTTTGGTGACCAGCCTTCTTGATGGTCCAGCTCTCACTTCCATACATCACTACTGGGAAATTAAGGGACCTAAGCAGTGCTATTTTTCTAGAAAAAAGAGGTGCCGGAACTCACATGAACGCCTCCCTTGTTCTGTTATAATGGCAATGGCGCCCACTTGAGAGGTGCCGAAACAGTGTTCCAATGAGTTCCAGCTGGGGGGGGGGGAAGCCCTGGATCTAAGTGATCTTCCACACACATCACTTGTAGTGTTAGCAACTGATTGATCTGCAGATCACACATTCTCACATTCCTGTTATGCTGCTCACTCCAGTTGTGAGTCATGATAGTTACCGGTAGGTGTTGGGAATGGAAGGAAAATACCCTGAAGGTCTTCATCACATCCAAATCCCGAATGATTACTATTATTATTATGCTTGATATTTCCCTACTCATACCTCCCATCAGTAACTTAGATAAGGGTGTTGGGACTCAATATTTTAAAGGTAAGGGAAACTAAGATATGATGTGGAGTGGCTGAGCATCAGAAACACCTCCCCCCACCAACTGATAAATGAGTGGAAAAAAACCAATAGTGGTAATCAGGGGCTCAGGATTTAGAAATTTATTTCTGGGGTAGGAGCTAGCTGCTAGACAAACCTAAACCTTCCATAGACTGAAAAATGACTCTGTGATCTTGGGAATTTGGCTCAAAGGGATATTAAGCCCGCAGTCTCTCTCTGTCTCTGAGAACTTAAGCTTTGATATCTCTTTAACAATGGCCATTTCATTCCACCTTCATTTTTAGAGACACACCCGGTGTTTTTTTTTTCATCCTTCCCATTCTTTTGCCTCCTCATTCCTTGTCAATTTCTTGGCCACACCTCCTTGTCGTTTCTCCCCTTTATTTATTTAAAATATTTATAGCCCTTCGTCCATGGCAAAACCAAGGCGGGGTGCAACAAACAAAACAACCATATAGCAACAATCTAACCTTTTTTTTAAAAAAAATGTAATGATAATCAAATTAAGGAGCTAAAAGCAGTCAACTGCTGGGCGGGTTAAGCAACCAAGGCTGAAACTCCTAAAAGGCTCAGGCGTATAAATGCGTCTTTTAAGGCACTGGCAGGCTAATACAGTGAGATGCGCTCTTCTAGATATATGGGTACCAAGCATCTTAGGGCTAATATTCTGGCAGCCATATTCTGTTTCAATTGAGTTCAGCTCCTGAGCAGCCTTCAAGAGTAGTCCCAGTTGGGAGGTGACCAGAACGTTGATCAGATGTCTCGTTCAAATGTCACCTGTGGAAAAATCCAGAAATATCTCTGTGGGATAAATTCTCTCCATGCAGGCATTGCAACCTTTGGCAGTGTCCACCACCGTGCCATGAATTGTGTGGGGAGAGAATTCATAATCCACCGTCGGACCCAGCACTACACATTGTGGCATGCATCAACCGTTCCAGTTTGTTATGAAGGGAACATGCAGATCTGGAATGGGGAACCTGTGATCCTTCAGTTGTTGTGAGATTTCCATCAGCCCCAGTCAGCAAGGGTGGGGGTGATGGGAGTTGTAGTCCAACAACATTTGAGGGGCTACAGGGTCACCAGTCCTGCTGCATGGTTTCCATCAGGGCCTTTTTTTCAGCCGGAACTCATGTGGGCGCCATCGCCCCAAAATAGCAGGTCCTTGTGTCTCAATGGGAGGAGAAACCACATATCCGTCGGGTTCTTCAGGCCTTCAAAGTGCTGGTCTGTGCGCAGCCTCATGGGGTTAAGGAAGAACTCCACAAAAATGCAGAAAGCAATGAGTAGGATTAGGAGAAGGCCTAGGATGGCAGATATCACGCTGTTGAGCAAAAGCCAGTGGTTCCTCTCTCCCACACAGCCGTTGAGCCACATGCAGTGATGATCAAATCCACACATACACCCTTGTTGCAGGTCCCACGGTGCTTTGATGTCACATTGACATCACAGATGTGACAGTGGAGGTTTTCAATGACTTGAGCATGCTGGCTTCAATTGAAAAAGAATGAGGGAGTTTGTTCACGGTAAGTTCTGGCACCTCTTTTTTCTAGAAAATCAGCACTGGTATCCCTTCCTCACTCTTTTTTCTTGCGCCAACGTCCCTTCAGTTCCTTTTAAAAGTTGAATTGAGGGTGAGGCAAGGGAAAGGCAGGCAGGGAGTGAGTGAGTGAGGTGAAGGCAGTCTGTAGTGGGAAGATCAAGGACTCCTGGTTGCTCCCTATTTTATAGGGGTCAGGGAATCACATGACCTTCTGGCCTGCTGGTATAAATCAGCTCAAATGTGGCCAGTCTCACTGCATTTCCCTTCTTTGACCAGAGCCAGCCAGTTGTGTACAGGTTGAATCCATGCCTCAAATTCCTCAGGCCTCCACTTAAGTACGCACTGCAGCTTGAAGCTCTTGACAGACCTGGAGATACCGATCTGAACTTAAAACAATAGCGCTTGCAGGCTTACGTAATTTTTGTCCCAAGTTAATAGTCTCAAGGTTTCCCTGCTGCGTTAAGTGTTCTCACCAACCGGGAGAAAGCAATTTGCAAGTTGAGTCTTCTGACTGATCCTTCATCTGACACACTCCTTTCTCGTGACAGGTTGCTGAATTCCATAAAGCCTGGTTTGGTCAAAAAGATCAACAGACTGCCAACTCCCATTGCAGGACTGGTAAGTATCTTGTGGCTGAGACGTTTTGGTTGTCTTGTTTACATCCTGGTGTTGTGGTGGCCGTTTTCTCCAGAGTAATGCAAGCACACCTGCCTTATTAAATGTGTGCAGCGGTAGTGAAAATTCACATTGCTATTTATGAATCTCTTGGGATGCATTCCGATTAGGATCTGAACATTTTAAATCACAGAGTATTTTAAAAATATATATATGACTGCTTTGGACTTTTTGAATGCACTGCACCCAGGGTCCCGTTTTTATTTTGAGTGCACCCTGATTCCTCCTGCATCTTCAGTAAAAGTCACTTCTAAGAAAACTGTGTCATAGAGCTAAATTTAGCAGAGGCTATATCCTTCTTTATATGTTACATAATTAATTATTATTTTTGCTTATTTAGGAAACTGTATCTTGACCTATTGTTTGTTTAAATGATTGACCATTTACTGAAGAATACTGTGGTGATTCTACTGATTTTTTGAAAAACAAAGGCAGTGGAACAACCTTTCCCAGTTAGAGCCCTGTTCAGGTACACTCCATTCACACATACAGCAAATGCATGGGGTAGGAAGTCGGAAATTATTGGTGGAAATCATTGCCTGGGGTCAGGAGGTGTACTCCAAATCTGCTCACCTCTATATCGGTGGGCGATGTTGTGCACAGGTGGCCGTGCCTCAATAGTTTTCCGGCGTGGGGGTGGAGGTCCACCACCTCATCCCTATGTCATGGCCAGCCGCGTCACCTGTGTTGAGGGATAGCCCCAGCCAATCAGCCAGCAGGGTGGGAGTGGCCGCAGGCCATTTAATCACGGCGCAACCAGATGGTTCCCTCTTCATTGGATCACACTACCTACCCACCCTCTTCTAATGCATTGCTCTGATTTGACCTTGCTATGGCAGTTGTCGGTCGCCATGTTGTTGGGGCTAGGTAGGAATTTTTTCCACTTGGCAAATTGGCACCGGCCATTTGGTTTTCTCCTACCTGGTAGCAATCACCTGGGGTCAGGAGGTGTACTCCAAGTGTCAGACAGGGATGCCTGAACAGGGCTATAGAGAGAATAGTAGATGCCTTTCAAGGTTTGCACATTTTTGCTCTGCCTGATGCAGTAGCATTGCTATGGCGAATATGATGTCATTTCAACAGGATAACTTTAGGATTGGGAAGCAGACACAGAGCAGCGCAGCGTGAAAGGCATCTGGGGTGATATGTTGATAGAACGTAAAGTTGAGAGTGGGCAGGAGACATGAAGGAGCAGCCATCCATTTTGCTTAAGGAGGATATCAAGGGAGATGGATGAAGTTGTAAGGATCTGTGTTCCGAGACAGACACAGTGGTGGCATGACACAGGTCTTGGAACACAGATTTTGTAGCAGGAAAATGAAACTGAACCCTTTTCCAGCCCTCGAAACTATTGTCCTTCTCCTCGCCAATCACGTCTCTCCATCAACCATATCTCTCTTACTTTGCCCCATGGAGCCTGGCCAAGAGAAACGTGGTTGAGTGAACAGTTAGAGAAAGCACATGCAATTGGCTGCGGAAAATTTGAGGTGTGTCTACTGCATATTATACCTTCCTGAAGCTTTGTAGCGGACATATGGGTATGCAACCATCCTATCACGTTGGGGCTTAAGGCTTTGGATGTTGTTCAGATGCTGGATTATCGTCTTCCAAAGCAACTACTCTATTCCCAACTCAAGAATGGAAAGCGAAATACCGATGGACAGTAAAAGTGGTTTAAAAAGGCTCTCAGCAAATGTCAACAAATGTTGTATAAACACTGATAACTGGGAAACATGGACCTGCGAGTGCTCCAATTGGAGAACAGCCTTTATCAAAGGTGTTATGAAGAAGAAGAAGAGTTTGGATTTGATATCCCGCCTTTCACTCCCCTTCAGGAGTCTCAAAGCGGCTAACATTCTCCTTTCCCTTCCTCCCCCACAACAAACACTCTGTGAGGTGAGTGGGGCTGAGAGACTTCAGAGAAGTGTGACTGGCCCAAGGTCACCCAGCAGCTGCATGTGGAGGAGCGGGGACGCGAACCCGGTTACCCAGATTACGGGACTACCGCTCTTAACCACTACACCACACTGGCTCTCGAAGTATTCTATGCAGTGTGTCTAGGGAAATAAATAATCCAAACTGTATACTTGCAGATGTGTCTCTCTCTATGCTAGTGGTTTGATGCACCTGTGGGACACTTCTTTCTTTATCTAGCATGAGATCTTGTTTATTATATAATCTACAATTGGCTTGGTGTAGCAGTCTATAATCACTAGGGTGAACATACTGGAAAGGAATATGCATGACTCACTGTGTGGAAATGGAGTGGAAAGCCAGTGTTTTTTGACTCCCAAACGTGGATTGATTTTTTCTAAACTCTAGACATTGGCTTTGCCGAAATCTGGATGTCTGTTCTGGAAGCTTTCTGAAAACTTGCTTGAAAAAGCACAAATCTGTAGCCAGCAGTGCACGCTTGTCATACAGTGCATGAATACATGGCAATTTCTTCTCAGTCATGCACTGTTTCTTAAAGGAGTTTTTAAATGTGGTTCATTGCACCATTTGGGTGGGAATGGGGAAATGGATCCCATAATTTGCTCTTTGTGCAAAGCTTTTAAAGAATCAGCAGCTTTGATTAGTGCAGAATGCTTACAAATGGTGATAGTTATTACAAGAGCTTTAAGTGCATGCATATGCAATATGTTTTAAAGAACTTTCTGACAGCAAGAGCTGTTGAAAAATGGAAATGTCTACCTTGGAAGGTAGTGGACTCTCCTTCACTGGAAGTCTATAAGCAGAGGTTGGATGGACATCTGTCATGGATGCTTCAGCTGAGATTCTTGCATTGCAGAGGGTTGAACGAGATGGCCGTCGTTTCTTCCAACTCTCCAGTTCTGTGATTTTGTGCTAGTTATTTATTGGTTGTTGGACCTGCTTGTTCCTGTTAATGTATAAAGGACTGACATGTGTCCGGTTTTGTTTTGAGCGGCTGATGGTAGTTCACAGTACAGTGGTACCTCGGGTTACATACGCTTCAGGTTACAGACGCTTCAGGTTACAGACTCCCCTAGCCCAGAAATAATACCTCGGGTTAAGAACTTTACCTCAGGATGAGAACAGAAATTGCGAGGTGGCAGTGGGAGGCCCCATTAGCTAAAGTGGTGCTTCAGGTTAAGAACAGTTTCAGGTTAAGAATGGACCTCCGGAATTAAGTACTCAACCCGAGGTACCATTGTATAGAGAGAATCCATCACCTTGCGTGTTCCCCATGGTGTAGAATTTCAGGAGATGCTTTATTTTTTAAAGCGAATGTATAGACATGATGTGTCACTCTGGGGGCAAATGGCTATCGTAGCTTTGAAGTCTCAAGGCAGCATTTCTGTAGGAAAGCTCTCTCTTTTTCTCCTCAAATTTCCTTCCTGTCTCTGAATAGTGTCACTGTGAGAGAGAAAAAGAATGAACTTATTTTGGGCTTATCTTTTGTTTGATTGGGGTTGGGTGGCGTTTGTAGCATTACTTCAGTTCCTTAACGCTATCCCTATGGGAATTTCAGACATTTGCCTCAGAGGGTGTGTGAAAAAGGAGTCAGAAATAATAGTAGGAAATTGGGGAAGGCGAAACCGAATGGCTGAACTATAGCTGCACTCTGGCTCACGGCACTTTTTGGCTCTTGGTTTCAACCCTAATGAAGAGAGCAATATTGGCTTGCAGACATGCTTTAGAAAGAGTTTGTGTATAGAAGTCAGGGAAAGAAAGTTCTCTATAAAAATGCTCAAATTTTTCGTAAATGGCTGCAACCCTACAAGAAAGAGAACTGTAGCAAAATGGATAATAAAGAACAGTTTCCTGGAAAACTGGATGCTTATTAGATTATTTTCTTAGGAAGTTTATTTTGGCTTGGGAATCTACAGGAACTTGGTAGAAACCATGTTATAGGAGTGAGAACTGCCTGTCTTTTGGAGTCTTGTTCTAATATATATATTACTGTTTTTAAAGCTCTGTCAGTTGTCCAATAATTGTCATTCTCCAGGCGCTGAACAAGAAATATAGGGCAGCATTAGTCACACTCCACATAGACCCAATGAAATAGTTGTGCAAGTCCATTGACTTCGTTGGGTCTGTTCGGAATAGTGACCTCCTTGAACTTCAGATTAGCTGCGGAGGCCATGCTCATGGTGTCGTTGCCAAATGTAGTTCAAGGAGCAGTGAAATGTGGGACACTTTTTCCATGGTTGCCCCAGGCAGCATGGCTAGTGGTCAGGGATGATGGGCATTGGAGTCCAACAACCAATACAGGGCGACAGGTTTCCTTTCTCTGGTCTAGAGGCAACCATGGAAAAAGTGTCCTACATTTTCAAGTGTTGAGGTGAAGTGATTTTTTTAAAAAAATTGAGCCACACCCTCTACTGCCTCAATGATTTGCTGCTGCTTTTTTATGTTTCATTGTGATTTTATAATTTTTTTGGGGGGGGGGTGTTTTATATTATGTAGCCCATCATGGGGCCTCTGCTTAACTGATGGATTCTTAATAATATTATTCTTAATAATAAACAAACATGTGAACTATATATAAAGTCATACCTTGGATCTCAAATGCCTTGGCTCCTGAACAAAGCTCCCAAATGATCAAAACCCAGAAGTGACTGTTCTGGTTTTTGAACATTCTTTTGGAAGCTGAACGTCCAACACGGCTTCCGTGGCTTCCGATTGGCTGCAGTCCATTCGATTTCCAAAACGTTCGGAAACCAAAGCGCGGCTTTCGATTGGCTGCAGGACCTTCCTGCAGCCAATCGGAAGCCGCGCTTTGGTTTCCGAACATTTTGGAAGTCGAACAGACTTCCGGAATGGAATCCATTCGACTTCCAAGGTACGACTGTGTGTGTGTGTGTGTGTGTGTGTGTTTAAAAAACTCAAAATAGCCAAATCAACAAAAATACAATTCTGTGCAGCAATAAAACAATATCAGGTATCACCCACAGTTAAAAACAATGTAAAACAACAAA